TCTTGTGCTAATGGTTTATACAGTGCCTAGAACCATTTTTGAGTCCCCTAGCTGTTAAAACAGTATAAAGCATAAATCTGCAACACCATATAGGGGGAAGATGTCTTCACATGCCTCAGTTTCCATGCATCAGTAGGGCTGTGGCCACCCTTCCTCTGGAACTGTCAGACCTCTTCATTTTTAATTCATAAGAGTACCCCAGATTTAGAGTGCAGATGTGGTCAGCATAGTCTTTATGATGGTTCATTTTTCCCATACTTGTCCATATGCTGCAGTGGGGATGAACATGCTTTTTCATTATTATGTCCATTAACTTTTTTTTGTTTGGTGCATGGGTTTGAGTCACCAGGCCACCTAGTCCCTCAAGCTCCAGGTGAAGGTTTGTAGTTGCTCCTGTCAGGAGCAAGGACAGCTTTGAAACCTCTGCCAGGACTTTCATCCAAAATCCTCAACTTGCTAAAATTATCAGCCTTCAATGCCTTATACCATACAACAGCACCTTCATGCCCAGTATGGTACTTTGTGTCACTGGTCAAGTAAAATAAATCAAAACTGTGTTCAAGAACCCTTTCTGTAATCTGGCTTCCTTCTTTTGAAATGAGCAGGTGAGCTGCATGTCATCTTCTGGTCCCAACTTAAGAAAGGGGGAGACCAAGAACTTATTAGCAACTCAGACCATGCACTTCCATGCAGGAATGACTAAAGCAACTGCAGTTTCTGTTGCTGCTGGGCTGGTTGCCATTCAGTAGCATAACTAGGAGTGGGCGAGAGGGGCACCAGCTCCAGGCGCCAGTTTGAGGAGCGCCAAAATCTCTTCCCCCTCCCACAGTTTGTGCCCCAGCAGCATTGATTTTGTAGCAGCAGTCAACGCATTGACAGAGAGCTGCTGCTCCTGCTTTAAGAGCAAGAGCTCAGGTGAGCAGAGCATGTATTGGCAGCAGTGGTGGCAGCAGCAGCAGGAGCAGGAGGGGGCTGGATAAAACTCCCACTCTTGGATCCTGGCTCCCTGTCCCAGCTCTCCTGCAGGGTTTGTCCAGGGCACAAACCGTGCTTATTACCCTGTTGTTGCCTTTTCTCAGACTATTGCGGGGGTGGGCCTGCAGCTGATTCTGGTGCGCCTGCTACTCCCTCAGAAACTGCGGCAAAGTCTGTAGCTGCTGTTGCTGTCATTCCAGTTTCCAGTTTACAACTTCCTCTATTTTCCTCCTTTGAGCAGAGTGTTTCCAGAAATCCCACTGCTCATACCATTGGGAGGAAAGGGAGGTTTATTTATTTCTTTATTTATTTATTTTTATTTATTATTTTTCGTGAATGGCCACTATGTAGTTATGTCATATCCTTTTCCTGGGAGCAACTGAAATCCAAGCAAAAATGTAAGATATGGTCTAAGTTTTTTCCCCCAGGATAGGCCATCACTGCAGAAAGCACTCTGTTTTATCCACTTGCAACAGCTTCTCTCTTATATTCAGAGTGGAGTTAACAAATTGATCTTGCCAATGGCAGCAGCATAGTTTCATAGTTTCATAGTTTCAGGGTCGGAAGGGACCTAATAGATCTTCTAGCCCGCCCCCCCGCCAGGGCGGGAGAACAACCAAAAAAACAAAAAAACAAAAAAAACAAAAAAACAAAAAAAACCAACAACACACACCCTAAAAACAAAAACGGGACTCAAATGAGTCCAGCCAGGTAAGTATCCAGCCTCTTCTTAAAGATCCCCAGGGTAGGGGCCAGCACCACCTCCCTTGGCAGTTGGTTCCAGCTCCTAGCCGCCCTAACTGTGAAGTATTTTTTCGGATGTCCAGTCTGTACCTCCTCTCCATCAACTTGTGCCCATTACTCCTTGTTATGCCAGCGGGGGCTAGGGGAAACAGCGTCTCCCCCAAACCCTTCTGGTTCCCCCTAGTGAGTTTATAGACGGTCACCAGGTCCCCCCTCAGCCTTCTCTTGTGGAGGCTGAACAGGTTCAGGTCCCGCAGTCTCTCACTGTAGGGTCTGCCCTGTTGTCCCCGGATCATGCGGGTGGCCCTCCTCTGGACCCTCTCCATGTTGTCCACATCCCTCCTGAAATGGGGCGCACAGAACTGGACACAATACTCCAGCTGCGGCCTGACCAGCGTCGCATAGAGGGGGAGGATCACCTCCCTGGCTCTACTCGAGATGCACCTGTGGATGCACGACAAGGTCCGGTTAGCCCTGCCAACCATGACCTCGCATTGTCGGCCCATGTTCATCTTGGAGTCAATAATGACACCAAGATCCCTTTCCGCCTCCGTGCTCTCAAGTAGGGAGTTCCCCATCGTATAAGTGTGCTGCTGGTTCCTACTACCCAAGTGCAGCACCCTGCACTTGTCCGTATTGAAACACATCCTGTTCCTGTTTGCCCACCCCTGTAACCTATCCAGATCCTTCTGCAATCTCTCTCTCCCTGCTAGCGTGCTCACCTCCCCCCAAATTTTGGTGTCATCAGCGAATTTAAACAGGTTGCTTTCCACCCCAACATCAAGATCGCTGATGAAGAAATTGAACAGCGCAGGCCCCAGGACCGAGCCCTGGGGGACTCCACTACCCACCTCCCCCCAAGTCGAGTATGATCCATCCACCACCACCCTCTGAGTGCGACCCTTCAGCCAATCTGCAATCCATCTGACCGTGTAGGCATCTATGCCACAGTCGCCTAGTTTATTAATTAGGATGGGGTGAGAGACGGTGTCAAAGGCCTTGCTGAAGTCCAGAAAGACTACATCCACCGCGACACCTGCATCCATGGCCTTTGTGACCTGATCATAAAAGGCAATCAGGTTGGTCTGACATGATCTCCCCCTAATAAATCCATGCTGATTGCCCCTGAGCATCATTTCTGATGCTGGCCCATCACAAATGTGCTCCTTGATGATCTTCTCAAAGAGCTTCCCCAGGATTGAGGTAAGACTGACGGGCCTATAATTGCCCAGGTCCTCCCTTTTCCCTTTTTTGAAGATGGGGACCACATTAGCTACCTTCCAATCGTCTGGCACCTGGCCCAAGCACCACGATCGCTCGTAGAGCCGTGCCAGGGGCCCTGCAATAACCCCAGCCAGCTCCCTCAGCACCCTGGGGTGGAGAGCATCCGGACCCGCTGACTTGAATGCGTCCAGCCCCTCCAGAAGCTCTCTAACCTGGTCCTCCCCAACCTGAGGTCTGAAGGCGATCCCCTCGCGTCCGGCTTCTATCACAGCAGGGAAGTCCCGTTCCCTGCACAAGAAAACGGAGGTGAAGAATTGGTTAAAGAGATCCGCTTTATCCTCTGACGCAACCACCAGATTGCCCCGCATATCCTGCAGGGGCCCCACATTACCCGGCACCTTCTTCGTCCTCCCAATATATTTGAAAAAGGACTTTTTGTTATCCTTAATCCTGGACGCTAATCCGAGCTCTATATCCGCCTTGGCCTTCCAGAGCATCTCTCTGGAAGATCCCGAAAGCTGACTCAGCAGAAGAACCCTTCTCTCTCACTACAATATATTTTCTGTATTCAGATATAGTTGCATTTCGCTACTTTAACTAAGGCTCTGTAGTAGTAATTAGAGGTGTGCTGAGAAGGCAGTATTGTTATCTGGGCCCAGATTAGTTATAGGCTGAGGTTTGAGAGTTGGTTTGGTGGTGAAGCGGAGCCAAGATTTGCATTTGGATTTGATGTGGTTGAAATCATAAACAATTCTTGTGCAATTTTGGCACGAAAATGGTAGAACTCCCATGAGAAAAATTGTTCTTGTGAGACTGTGTCCACATCCAAACCAGAACAGTTTTCTGTTTTTGGAAGATGAAGTGGAAATGCTGGATTAAGATTCAGAGGTCTTAACCTCAATGTTGTCTCCTAAAATACAAAGTGATATATATTCGTTTCATCATTTAGCTACCTACTTCCAAACATTTGTACAAAAGCTGCAGATAAACCACTGCACACAGCAGCAGAAATGTTTATTAATGGCTATATAACGCTGAAAAGTGTGCTAAGTGCTTCATGGAGAATTTAGAAGGATATATTCTCTGTGCCAAAAGAGTGTAATAATCTACTTTATATATGTACCATAATGAATGAGCTTGAGGTAGGCTTGGGGTTGTGGCAGGACAAAGGATATAGAATGAGGCACATGCAGACTTTGGGAGTTTAGCACTTTTTGTTTGTTTTCCTATTGTTTTCTGCTATATAAAAATAGCAATGTAAGTGCTGGTGAAGAGTGCTCAGAACTTGAGTGCATCACAGAAGGTATCCATGGTTTGTATCCAGTATGATTATGGTAGAAAAGTAAGCTATGAGAGAGTTCTAATTAGTTGTCTCCAGGTTAGCCAGTGGGCATGAGTGGCTAACCTGTGCCCCAGTATATAATCCAGTTGCCTGGGTCACCTTTAATGGTTGGCAAAGTAGGCAGCTGTCTATTCTAGAAAGAAGTTAGCAGTATCCAAAGACAGAGAGAGAGAGAGAGAGAGAGGGAGAGAGCTTCCAACCAAACAAAAGCCCCAAAACTGCAGATAAGAAATATTTATTGTTTTCAAGCCATAATTAATCTCTGGTAAAACTGGAAGCATTGCAATCATTCAGACTTTGCCAAGGGACAACAGCAGTGTTTTGTATTGGTTGGATCCGTTTCTACTTGACTGTTTAGAAGTTCTTAGTTCAGCTTATATTTGCATACATGGGTAGTCCATGAAAAATCTTCTGTGACAATGTAAATCAACATGGGTGACCAATGGCAAAAAATCCTTAATGAAAACAGAAGCCTCTTTTTTTCTTTTCTTTTCTTTCTTTCTTTTTTTTTTTTTTTGGTAGAATTGACTGTTGTGAAACAAAACCTGAAAGAGAAGCCAACGATGTGAAACAAAGTTTAGCACTTTTAAGCTTTCTAAAATCAACTATTTTTCTTCTGGCTAATGCATTCTAGATGTGAATGTTCACTTAACCCAAACTTCAGAGTTTCTACTTATGAAAATAACCTTCCTATTGAAAAAGTGTTTTTTGATAGTTTCCATAGATCTCAAGAAAGAGAAAAAGAGGAAAAGTGATGGAGCTTTATCTGTGGACGTGGATATGTCTTTGACCAATAATATGTTGATGCAGTTGCACAGTTACTGAAAAATTGTCAAGGAATTACAGAGGAGGAACCTGAGCACTGCTGCTCAGAAGGATCTTGCCAGATGGCTGGTAATCTATGATCAACTTTATCTTGTGCTTGTGAATACTGGGTAAGTCCAAAAAATTTGTAAGAATATATTTGTGCTACATGATGATGCTCTCAAACAGTGGGCCTTGATTTAAAGCCATTGAAAGCCAAATTGCAAAGAGAATAGCTAATATGCTGCCCACAAGTTTTTATGCATGAAAGGAAGAAAAGTAAATTCAATCAAGATGCTAGGAAACTGAAATCTTTTTGGAAAAAAAGATTTAAAAGGCTAGTTATGTGTTTGATGTTCACGTTTCTCATTTTGTTTCATACCGGCTTTATAATCAATAAGCAGGATGAATGAATTGAATCTCTTTGCATATTATCGGATGGGAAAGGAAGCTAAGGAGGGGGGCAAAAATACTCCTCAGGTCAAAACAGAGGTACCTAATCATTCTAGGCACCTTAGAGTTTTGTGGCCACCGAAAATGGTTCAATGCAGATGATTTTTTATGAGTTAGGAGCCTAAATTCCACCCAGCTCTTATTTAGACATGTATGAGAATTATTTGGATCTGACCTGCAGTGTTTATCTGAAAGTAGGAAGTTAATGGGAGAGTGTGGCAAAAAGTACTCCTGCCTGACTTGGAACATATGTGAAAGCTGCAATAGCTACCTGCAACTGGTCTTACTGATAGATGACTAAAAAGAGCTATGTGTTGAGGTCTCCCACCATCAACACCACGTGAAGCACAGCACATAATCAATGGGATTTCTGCAACAGATCCACAGTGAAAATGTAAAGTTAGCTGTTTGGCTATAGTAAGCCTCAGGCCTATTATGGGAGAAAATGTCTGGCGCTTTTCCAATATCAAGGGCCTCTGCCACATGTCTTCTAATTAATTTCTGCCACAAACAAACATGTCAACAACACAATTAGATTGTCTTATCTAATCTGTCTGTCCAATGCAGCTGCATTTTTGATACCTGTCCATCAGTATAGAAGCTGCAACCTAAGAGTTTTCAGAAACAGAATGATGAATGATGAAGACCAAACCCGCAGTAGGGGTGCTGACATTTCAATGGATCCTGCACACGGCCTGTTCCTCAGCCTGTATGCACAGGCCACTCTCATGATGCCTACTAAAGGGACCAGCAAATTTGGGAAATACAGGAGGAACTGTTGCTAAAGATCTGGAGGAAAAAAAACCTGGTCATCCCACGAACTAAAGGTGTGTCCTGAGTATTCTCTAGGAGAGTGCACACATTTACAACATGGGGAAACCCTGTGAGCATTTGCCCCTCTCCCAAGGAACGCTTGCCCTCCCACGCTGCCAGTAATTCCCCACAAGGTACCTAGTCTATGTCTATAAGGTATCAAGCAAGCTATTTCTAGATGGGCCCCTTCAAGCATATACAGGTTTGACTCTTACAATTAATATTACTACAACAGAATTTTAAAGGATTTTTAAAAATCCCATTGTACTGTCATATCTCTACCCTCAAAAAACTCCCAGAACAAACAGGTGGCTAGTGAAGCCAGGAACAGTGAAGTTTTTGTACACATTTTATTTACAAGTTGCGTTGCTCTTGGTTTAAAAAGGGGTAATGCCTTAATTGCCAGCGAATGACATACCGCATAAAATAAGGTACACATTGTCATACCCCATTAATAACTTAGCCACCTGTCAGTTTCACAGAAAAAAAGTAAATATTACCAGCGTATGTACTTTAGCAGCAAGGTCATGCTCTGTACATTCATGTCTGTAACTAGAAACAGAGTGAGTCAAAGATAGTGAGTTGATATAGTTGATGTATTTGCTATTGATCTGCTTTTGAAGGTTAGTTTAAGTTAGAATGACTGATTTCCTGGATTTATACATAACTTCATACTGGTGAATATAAAAGCAATGCAAGGATGGTCATTTTCCATCTGGTCCAGTATCTTGTCTCTGGCAGTGACTAGTACCAGGTTCTGCTTCACAGGAAGTAGCATGAAAGTTCTTTGTGGGCAGTTATGAAAAACTGCCTATAGAGGAAGTTTCTTCCTAACCCATATTTATTATCAGTTAGTGTTAGGTTTAGCCTCGAAACACACAGCCCATATAATGTAACCATGGCAGTTCTCACTATCCATATAAATGTCTAATCCTTTCTGGAATCCCAATAAGCTCTTTGACTCAATGATAGCAAAATGTGTTATCATCTGTGTGCAGAAAGCATCAGCTTTCTATAAACACAGACATTTAAGAAATGAATTTGACATTTTTGTTACATTTTAAAAGGATGATACATAATAAACAGGGATGCCATTTAGTAGTTAAAAGTAATCATCATCATCATACCAAGATGCAAGGAAGAACTTTAATACTTTGGAATTGCATCTTGAGGACTGAATTAAATTCTAAAAACAAAATGGTTATAATAAGCAGATTGTACTCCTGCTGCCTCATACCTTTGGAATACTTAAGTGCTTTCTCTGTCATCTTTATAAAGATGGGCTATAAAGTTAAGACATCCTCAAGGACAACTTGAAAAAAATGCAACATCAACATCAACTCATGGGAGACTATCACCCAGGACTGACCCAAATGGAGGAAGAATCTGCTTCAAGGATCTCAGAACTTCGAAAACTTATGGCATCAACAGGAGATGGAAAAGTGGGAGTGGCAGAAACAGCATGTCGCTAACTGAATCAAATATCTGGAGCTACCCATCGCATGTTGAAACACATGCCCAAGTTGTAGCAGAGTCGTTGGGTCTGGATCAGCCTTGTCAGCCATCTTTGGACCTACAGATAGGACAATCATGGAAGACAATTGTCCTCAACTGAGGGATTACTGTAGAAGAAGAGTTACTGAGAAACTGTTGTGTGGTATCACACTGAAGTCAACATTTTAAGAAGTTATCTGTAACTTTGGGTGTCCAGTTTTGGGCAACCTTGCATTATCTTGAGCCTCATTTTTAGAGGCAATGCAATTAAGTCACAATTTTTCAAGCTGAGCATTCAAAAGCAAAGGCCTATTTGTGATAGCCAAGTGACATGATCTAGAGCGCTCAGGACTCAGTGAAAGACTTGATTTCTAATCAAGTATGTGTGTTGGAGAGTGGGCTATAAAGTTAAAAGCAAAGGATACTTCAGCTTGCTGAAACCCTTAAGGGTTTTTTTAAATAAAAGATTCAACGTTTACCTACAATTTACATTTACAGCAGGGATGTCAGTAACTTGGATGTCTGCATATGCCACTGGAGAGCCATGCCCTCTAGCTTGCTGTTTACACACACACATGGTGCATGTACAAGAGATGCTGACTGTTCAGTAGCCAAAAAATACTACATACTAGTGTGTTATAGCCCTGACTGCTAATATGCTACTGCGTAGCATTATTAGTCCACTGTGCTGTAGTATCACCTAACATATGTTTGCTGGTACTACTGCACTGTAACTCCAGATACTGCACATTTATTTAATACTTGCTAATACAAGTACTATATAAATGCGCAGTAATGACTGCACAGTAGTTTCTCATGTAGACATGTCTACTATAAAGCACATTATGCTCTCATTTGTTCTGCTGTAAAATTTGGTATATTTTACTAAAATAAAAGTAGTTTCTCTAGGTTTGGTCAGGTGCAAAAGAGCAGATTTTGATCTATTGTATTTGTACCCCAAGCCATGATAGATCTAAGCACAAGCATAAATCTGAAAAAATAGTTTTAATGAAACTTTTGCGAATCCTTCTGAAAAAAAAGTCGTAATTTTCAAAGTTACTTTTATCTTTTCTTTACAGTCCCCAAATTTCTGTTGTCTCTGCTTCTGTGCTAAGTTTAGATATAAAAATACCCAGTAAAGGGTTGCAACTGAAGATTGATTTTTGTGTTTACAACATTACGTATATATCTATATTAAAAGGAAGGCATGGGATTGACTATATAAAAATGTTAACTGTCTTCCATTCTGTTTAGTCAAAGAAAATTCTATAGGTAACTTTGTACCTAGATGGGGGGCAATATGGTGGCAATGCAAATAAGGTATTTTGCAACAGCTTGAGTCATGTGAGTGTAAGCCTCATTTTGGATTCCAGCTAACAGTTGCTTCAGACTTTTAAACACATGTTTCAGGAGTGGGGGAGGGGGCCCTTTAATTAAAATGGCTCTGAGAGCTGCTCTACTTAAAGCACGTGGAGTGTCCCTGTGTTGAAAACTGGCAGCGGGGTCATTTTAAAACTCATTGAACAAGCTTTAGTTAAAGCAGCCCCCCACCATTTTTCAGCACAGGGACACTGATACACATGATGCTGGAGTCTGTTGGAGCGTGTTAAATAGCAGACTCAATTAATTTATTCTTCTCCAGTGTACTGTAATTACAGTGAGTCGGAGTAGCCTTGCTGCACATGTATAGGCACCCATTCACTTAACTTTCTAATGGGTGCCTGGTCATTTGGGCTGGGGAGTGAAAGGCAGATGGATGTGATGCTAGCCATGCCACTGCTTTGTGTGCCATTAGCTATAGAAACTATTGTGCCTTATAAGAGCACTAGCCTGATGGCCTGCTGTGCTCAGATGGACCTTTGACCTTTTGAGTTTGGTAAGGAAAAGGCCTTTGACAGGGTAGAATAGAGCTATGTGTTTTCCTTCTTGTGCCTCATTTTTTCTTTGCAATCTTGCTGTCCAACTTTTGCCCCTGCATGAAACCCCATTATTAACTGCAGGATTAGATCCTTAGATTTGCTTTTAATTACTGAAATTTGCGTAGAAGTTGTGTTACCTCCTCTTTCTCCAAGATACGAGTTTATGTCCTTCCTCCATTCTCTAGCTTATCGTTTACAGTTCTAATGGAAGCCACCCTTTAAGAGAATAAGGATGCAAATCAGGAATACTTTTAAGTGGCAAGAAACATAAAATGACCTTACGTGTTGATGATATCATTATGTTTTTAATCTACCTGATAGTTTTATTTCGTACAAATATTAGCTAGAATCAGATATCCTTTTTTCTGCTATTACTTGAAGGATTATTTTGAAGTACATAAGTTAGAAAATTATCTAAAGGGACTATTAAATTTACTGGGTTGAACAAATTA